GATAAATTCAATAGATGATCAGGGAGTCATACATCTATTGATCAAAATAAGTACAGGCAGGGGAGGCCCTTAAAAAGATTGTCCAGGGCTGTGATAAAGGGAGAAATTAAGAGAAAAGAGAAAGAAAAGAGGACCAAAAAGAGGAAGAAGCTAATAAAAGCCTTACTTACCTATGCTTCTTTACTGCACCTCAGCCAGAAATTGGTATGGTCACAGTCTTGATCTCACAATCATCCACAAGTATTCTATTTTTATGCTCAAGAACTCTGAAATCCTTTATCATCATAACCTATTATCATCTCCCTATGCCTCATTCCTCCAAATCCTAGTGTTCATCCAAAAAAATACTTCTCATTTCTCAATCCCCTCATTCCTTGTCCCTAGAAATGTACTTCCTTCTCACCTTTGCTTCTTAGAAACCCTAGGTTTCTTCAAAACTCAAATCAAGTGCTACCTTCTACATGAAATTTTCTCAATCACCTCAACTGTTAGCATCTTTCCTCCTAGCCCCAAATTACCTTGTATTTAGTTTATATATGCTAAATTATGTTTATGTCATCTCTTCCAATAGAATGTAAGTTCCTTAAGGGCAGGGATTATTTCATTTTTATCTTTGTATCACCAGCACCTAGCACATAAAAGGCATTTAATTATTGGATCAATTATGCACAGCAGGAACCACAGTCAGATTTGAGGAAAAAGTTCAGTTTAATGCAAAAGATGAAGGAGAATTCATGAAGACACACTAATACATCTCAATATGTCAGAATGAAAAACTATATACTAGTCTCTCCATAATTCCAGCATAAGCTGCATATAAGCCCACTAAAAAATATCCAACTATCTTCTTCCTAAATACGTCCTGTTTAAGGGTTCCTACAACCTCCCTCGTTAACATATTCCAACTTATTATGTCTTAAATAATCCTAATGTCTAACCTAAATCCAGAGGCAATTTTAGCTCATTTCCTTGGAGACTACAAGTTCTACTTTCTCTTAAAAAAAAAAAAGTAGGAATCAACAAGGTTTGGTTAAAGGGCTAAAAGTATTCTTGTTCAAGCAACCTAATCAGAGATAGCCTATCCAACAGTTACCCAAACAGAATCAAAAGCTATGGAATTCTAGCTAGTGACCAATCAGCCAGGCCTGAAAAAAAAGGAAAGAAATGGGTTGGGAAGATAGCGCTATCCCTTGCTTTCATGGTCTTCTCAGTTACTGCTTGCCTAATGTTACAGAAGCTTCCATAGTTACCAAGTTTCCTCAGGATTTAGGATTTAGCCATTCAACCCCTTAAAAGCATTAAATCATGCAGTGTTGACTGAATTTCAGAGTCCACTAAGGTCTAAGGGATACTGAGATGGAAACTTCTGATAAGCTAACAGGTGAAAAAGACTAGAATAATGATAGAGAATTCTTTTCTGGGGATGAGGGCTGGAGTGGGAAGCAAAGGATCAGGATATTATTGGGACAGCACCAGGAAACAGAAAGATCAAACACACACACACACACACACACACACACACACACACACACACAGAGCGCACCTCTCAACTCCTATCAGATGAATCCAGTCTTAAGTAGGAATATTTTTATGATAGGGTTGGAAGACAAAGAAAAGAGAAAGAAGACAGAGCAATTCTACAGCAAGCCTAATTCTCACTAATCATTATCCCCTAGACCAAAGTGGGAAACTACTTGCTCCATGGATTTTAAAAGTCATTAAAACACAATAGCAAAATACATGAAAACATCACAGAGAATAAACTAGGGGTGAAATCAAAGCCTAAAGAACTGTCTCACGATATAATCCACAGATGCTTTCTCTGCAAAAGCCAGTTCTTGCAGACAGGGGCAAAACTTCCTTATGCATCTTTTCCTGGGCTCAGCCAAAGCTGAGGAACTGCAACTTCGTGTGGCATTGTCTGATAGGTTGGATTTTTCCCGAGTAAGAGGTGGACAGCTTTACTCTGGGACTAGATTTACAGTCAATCTGGGTGTGTGTCTCATTTTTTTCCTTTCCCTCCAAACCGTCTCAGAAAAGGTTTGGCTATTGTGCCTTGATATGGAATGATGTAGGGCTTTAAGTACTTGCAAAGGGCCTGAAAAAAAAAAAAATCTCCTCAGTCCCAGTTATGGCTCAAGTCTCGATATTTCTCCAGTGGTTGATATAATCAACCAAAGCTGGTTTGGCTTTTCTCAATGAGCCAAAGCAACAAGAGCCTTCTGAGCCTGAGAGCAGGGGGGCTGCTTGTCAGTATGACTCCCAATGGGGTGGCTAACATGGAATATGCTTCAGAGTCTGGAAAGCAGGACAACGCAGCTGCTGCTCCCCTACATATATACCTCTAGCTGGGGGGAGGGGATATCAGTAAATTGAAACAAAATTCTCTGGTGTACATCTGGAATACTACTGCTCCTACGGCTGTTCCCCACCCTACCCCCATCCAAGATGAACCTAGAAGCCCTAGTATTTGACACTATTAAGAACACCTCTCTAGCCCTGCTGCTCCTGAACCAAAATCCAACCAGGAGGCCCAACCTATCCGCTGGCAGAAAATGTCGGGAACTTTGCCAAAAATGAAAAAAAAATGCACACAGGCTTCCAAGTGTGATTTAAGATTGAGAAGTTCAGAAGAGCAAATTCCCCACACCTCTCTGTTGCACCTCCTACCCCCCAACTATGCAAAATGGAGCCCTGAGTACAGACTAAGAGCTCAGGTCCAAATCATTGGTCAAGGAGAGTGATTAACATTGTTCCCAAGCCAAGTATTCGAATGTAGATTTTATTCAGCCTGGCTCTGAACAGGAAGTTAACACACACCACACATAAACCACAGTGTCATGAAGATGGATGCTGTTGTCAGCTTTGAGTCACTCTCTCCTTACAGACTGGGTTTTTCAGGAGAGGTTTGGAGCAGGGCAAAGGTCCATCAACCTCACCTCCCTCCTTTGGAACTGGGTCACTGAGCTCACAGTGGCAGCCTTCTGATCCCTGCTCTTCAGCACCTGTCCCCAGGTAGGCAGTCAACAAGCATCTATAAAGCACTTAGTAAGTGCTAAACTAGGGATACAAAGAAAGGCAAAAACAGACCCTGTCCTCAAGAAGCTTACATTCTAACAGATGGCATCACTAGTACTATCATTGCCGCTGGACAATAAGTCTTGACACAGATCTATGCCCCATTCCTCTATTCTGAAGAGTCCCCATTTGGGTTAATATTCCCAACAACAGTCTACTCACACTTAAAAAGTCCAACGAAGGGCTACCCAAAGTTTAGCACAGTGTTAGGATATAGTAAGTACTTAATAAATGTTTTTGATTGATTGATCCCTAAACTTATGCTTAGGCAGCAAGTAGTAAGCCTGGGTTCACACAACAGGAAAAAAAACCAACTGTTTCAAATGCAATTCTGGGGCACACCTCCAGAAGCAGCTTCTTTTTCAACTCTGAGATGAGTGAAGTACTAGTTTCAAGCAATGATCTCCCTCAGTAAGCTAGACCAAGTTCAGCACTAGGAGGAAGAAATCAAATAAATGTCAAGTCTTAGAAAAAGTTCTGGATTCATAGCATCAAAAATATCAATAAAGTAGAGATCAAACTTCCAAGTTAACTATAATTCCCTTATACAAACACTGTTTCTGTCAAAATTTAGTCAGAAGTTATTTGCAATTAGTTACTATCAATAAAGTCATCAGCCCCCCACTCCTTGAACACACTGGTGTATTGGTGTTACAACTTTTCTCCAACAATTACAGATCCCTTCCGTAATTTCCCCCTCAACACACTAGCCTTCTCCTCTGCTCCAGGTTGTTCCACAACCAGTCAGGATCCCTCAAAGAAAAAGAATGAAAAAATCCTCTACTGCAAGACAGGAAGCCAGTTTTCAGGAGGCTGTCTGGTTCCCCAGAGATGACAGCAGAGGAAAAGAGCGGATGGCTTAACTATACTCCACATGCCACCCACCATCAACGCCTCCATCCTCACCTCAGTGCCAGTCCTAAGAGCTGACATCTTGTGGTTGGAGAGAAGTTGGTATCTGAGGCAGATTAAAAGGCTACAACACCTCCAGGGAAAAGGAGGGCTGCCCCACGGTAAGACAGGAGAAGGTACCTATGCTCATCCAGGGGTGCACAATTATATGGTATATACGTAATTGAGAACGGTTAACAAAAAAGTACCATAAAGATCCAGGTTGCCTTTTTTTTGGGGGGGGAGAGGGGAAGAGTGGGGGACGGTAAGAGAATAGGAAGGGTGGAGACCCACAGTGCCTGGGCCTGGGTTACTGTGCAGAAAGGTGGCCTGGCTGGCACATAAGTAACAGATTGTCTCCTAGCTTGGGGTGCAGTGGGGGTGAGATAAATGAATAAAGGGTCGCAGAGGCCTCTCCTGATCGAAAATCCCTTGCCTAAATGCAAAGATAAACCATTCGCGGTGACCCCCCCCCTTAAAAGCGCCTTACCGGTTCCATCCACCCGGCACACACACACAAACGAAAGGAGGGGAGCCCCCCTCTTCCCCAGGGAAAAACTGGGGTTAGGTAGGTATTTTTTGAAAATGGGGCTGCGCGAGGCAGGAAAGGGGGAAGAGAACGGCGGGCGTGAGGCGCCGAGGGAAGCAGGGGAGGGGGGAGGGAGAGACGGGGCGCGAGGTTGGGGGGAGGGAGAGTAAGAGGAGAAGGAATGAGGGGGCGCGAGCCCGGGGACGCGCGGGAATGAAGTGAAAGACGGGGGCGCGCGGAATGGGGGGGTGGGGCGAGGGAGCTCGGGGAAGCGGGGGTGCGAGGCCGGGAGACTGGGGGAGCTAGGCAGAGGTGAGGTGAGAGAAAGGGGGCGCGAGGCGGGGGCGCGCGGTCGGGCGTCGGCTCGAGGCCGCTTCCCCTCCCCCCAGCTCATCCACCTATCCTTTACCCCTCCCCCTCCTCCGCTTCCCCCCCCTCCCTTCCTCCCTCCCCTCCCTCTTCACCGCCCCCGGGCGGGCTGGCCTAGGCCGCGGCTCCTTACCTGGCGGTGGCGGCGGAACTCCCGGCTCGGTCCGTCTCCTCAAGCGGCAACGGAGGCGGCGAAAAAGGAAAAGGCGGCGGCAGTATGGACTCCAGGCCCCCGCTTTCGGGGCCGGGGTCAGGGGAAGGGGAGAAGAGAGGGCGGGCCGGGCCGAGCCGGGCCGGGGCGGGCTGGCGGGCGGAGCAGACACTGCGGTACAGACAGGGACAGCGGCGGCGGCACCGGCGGCGGCGGCGGCGGCGGCACCACACAAACAAGGACGCTGATTGGGCAGCTGCCAAGCGCTCCGACCCCGCCTCCTCCACACGCCACGACGCCCATTGGTCTACCTGCATCCAACGTCCTAGCCCCCTCTTCTCGAGCATGCCAATGGATGATAGGATGCCCGAACTCGATCCCTCCCTCGGCCAGTAAGTGGCTAACTTGATGGTGATTGATGTACATATTGTCCAATAAGAAGTGGAAAAGGGGGATGGTCTAGCGGGGGCGCGTTAATGGGTACCTCAGCCAGCCCCAGACACATCCGGGTCTTCTGCTTCTTATTAAGTGTCGGGGGTCAAAAAATCGCTTCAGGCTGCAACTTTCCCTCAGAGACTTTTTAGTCCCCAGGCAGCCGCCGTACGGTGGTCTCCCCCAAAACCGGGGTCCCCTTTGCCCCCTCGCTTGTTCTTCCCACCTTAAGGGTCGAAGCTGAAGGAAATGCACAGAGCTCTAGGGGCGCCCGGAGTTGCTTCGACGCGGGGTGCCTTCGCGACACAAGCCAGGCGCTCCGGGATGGAGCTTCCTTTAGGCCCCCGAGCCACCGGGGCGTGGCCAACCCCCTCCCGCTGCGGTAGCCTGGTTATTCTTGTGCTCGGCCAGGCCGCTGCCTCCTACTGCGCCTTTTGTAGGCCTGGTGGGGGCGACTCGGAGGAAGGAGCCGCTCAGGCCGTCGGGGGCCCGCTGCTAGCCTGATGGGGGATGCTTCTTCGGGCCTTCTGTCCCCAGTGTGAAGGAAGAGCCACGGCCCAGGCCTTTGGGGAGCCCTGGGTGATATGGAAGGGACACGGGCCCTACCCCGGGGAATCCCTGGTCGGATGAGAACACATGACGGGCCTCCCAAGATATGGATGGATATGGGAGGGAGCTTTAGAAACTGGTACTAGGGGAGGAAATGGACAGGACCCCATTAAAGCCGAGGTGGGCCACGGGCACTTTGTCCTAGCAAAGGTATTTCTTTCCCCTTGGCTAGCCTTGCTTTTAAGAAACTAGCCTACAATGGAACAAGCCAAACTGCAACGTGGATTTGTATCTTGTAGAGTAATAGATATTTAAAACTGGTAGAGATCTGTATAAACAATCAAACACTTGATAGACACCTATTATATACAAAGCCCTGTACCAGAACCTGGGGATAGAGACTAAATAAAAAACGGCCTACCTTCAAGAAGCTTACTGGTCATCTAACTTGCTCCTTTTAAAGATGAGGAAGCAAGCCCAAAGAGATTAAATAATTTGTTTCAAGTAGCAAGTGGCAAAGACAGGATCAGGATTCAAATCTGCCCTCCAAATCCAGCACCGTTTTCATTTTGCCGCACTTCACTTGAATTTTATTATTATTATTTTTTTTTAGTCTAGGCAATGGGGTTAAGTGACTTGCTAGGGTCACACAGCTAGTAAGTGTTAAGTGTTTGAGGTCACATTTGAACTCGGGTCCTCCTGAATCCAGGCCTACAAACTCTCTCCACTGAGCCACCTACCTGCCTTGAAATTCCATAGGCACCCCCCATAAAGGAGCTAATTGGTACAGGAAGCCTTCCACTAGGCTTTCTAATACTTCCTCAATACCTATGCAGCTAGAATTATTAAAGATAAAATGAAGAAAAGGAATCAATCTCCATTCCTTTCCTGGGCAAGGCTACCTAGTAAAAGGTGATCCTGCGAAGAGCTCCTTTTACTCACAGCACTCTTTTTTTTAAAAATATTTTTCTTAATATAAATTTATTTTAGTTTTTAGCATTCATTTCCACAAGTTTTTGAGTTCCAAATTTTCACCCCATCTCACCCCTCCCCCCCACCCCAAGATGGCATGCATTCTGAATATCTCTTCCCCTAGTCTGTCCTCTCTTCTATCTCTTTCCCCCCTTCTCTTATCCCCTTCCCCTTCTATTTTCCTGTAGGGCAGGATAGACTTCTGTACCCCATTTCCTGTATTTCTTATTTCCCAGTAGCATGCGAATACATTTTTTTAAACATATGTTTTTTAAAACTTTAGGTTTCAAATTTTCTCTCTTCCACCCCACCCACCCTCATTGAAAAGGCAAGCAACTCAATATAGGTTGTAGTGTGCAGTTATGCAAAACACTTCCATAGTAGATGTGTTGTGAAACACTAACTCTATTTCCCTTAATCCTATCCTGCCCTCCCATTTCTTCTATTCTTTATTTTGACCCTGTCCCTCCTCAGAAGTATTTACTTCTGATTACCCCCTTTCCCAATCTGCCCTCCTCTCTATCATCCCCCCTGCTCTCTTGTCCCCTTCTCCCCCTATTTTCCTGTAGGGTAAGACAGATTTCCATACCCAATTGAATGTCTCACAGCACTCTTGTACTGATTCTATCCCCAGAGTAGTCTCATCCATTCCTAACTCTCTTTGGTATTGTTCAAGTTTTAACACTTGCTACTAATTCCATTAAATTCTTATATAGCCTTTCTCCCCACCCCAACTATTCTTTTTCCTCTCCTACAATTGTAGAGGAGTCCTCTGCTACAGCTAGGTGGTGCAGTGGAGCGTGCTGGTCCTAGAGTTTTTCTGAGTTCAAATCCAACTGGTACTTCATAAACCTTGGAGGTGAAACCCACCACCTTCTAAAGCAGAGCATTTCACTTTAGGACAGCTATAATTATTAGCAAGTTTTTCCTTACATCAAACTTCTCTTTACCTTCCTGTCATTGCTTCTTCCGAGGAAGAGCAGAACAAATCTAATCCCATCTACCAGATAGCACACCTCAGAAATATCATGTGTTCCTTACCCCCAAAGTCTCCATCAGTAAACGTTTATTAAGTGCTTACTTATGTGCCAGGTGCTATGCTAAGCACTAGGGATACAAAGAAAAGCAAAAGATAGTCCCTGACCTCAGGGTGCTCAGTCTAAGGAGAGACAACAAACAAACAACCGTGTACAAACAAACTATACACACAATAATTAGGAAATAATCAACAGAGGAGGGTAACTAGGTGGTGCTGCCAATAGAGTATTGGGCCTGGAGGCTGGAAGACATCTTTCTGAATTCAAATCTGGCCTCAGACACTGACTAGCTGTGTGACCCTGGGCAAGTCACTTAACCCTATTTGCCTCAGTTTCCTCATCTGTAAAACGAGCTTGAGAAGGAAATGGCAAACCACTCCAGTATCTCTGCCAAAAAAGCCCCAAATGGAGTCAACAAAGAGTTGGAACAACCACAATAATCAACCGAGGGAAGTTTCCACTCGATTGTAAACTCCTTAAGGGCAGAAACTATCTTTGATCTCCTTTTGTTATCCTCAGCTTTAGTACAACAGCCAGGCACCTAGTAGGTGCTTAATAAATGTGGACTGAGGGAAAGTAGTAAAATTAAGAGGGATTGGAACAGGCTTACAATGGAAGGCAGGATTTTAGCTTAGATTTTTATCTAGCAGAGATAAGGAGGGAGATTGGGAGATTTTCTGAATGAGGGAATATCGGTGAAAATGCCTGGAGTCAGAAGATGAGGAAATGGAGAGAATTTAGAACTCAAAAAAATTTTTTTAAATAAATGTTAAATTTTACATGTAATTGGGAAATAATGAAATAAAATATATTTTTTAAAAAAATTTTTAAATGGGGAAATGGAGTGTCTTGTTCCAAGAACAGCAAAGAAAGGCTGTCACTGGATTAAAGAATATGGGAGCCGGTAAAGTGTAAGAAGACTGAAAAGATGGGGGAGGTGCCCAGGGTCATGAAAGGTTTTGAATGCCAAACAGAGACTTTCTCAATTGATCCTGGAAGTGATAGGGAGCCACTGGAGTTTATCCAAGGGAAAGGAAATATGTGACATGGTAAAATCACTATGGTGGCTAAATGGATACATTGGGTAGGAAGAAGAACAAGGGAGATGAAGGCCTGCACCAGGGTAGTGACAGTATCAGAGGAGAAAAGAGCATATTTGAAAGATGTTACAAAAGTAAAATCAACAGGCTTTGGCAACAAATTGGATATGTGGGACTAGAGAGTGAGGAGTCAAGGATGACTTCTGGGTTACTGTAAGCCTGCGAGACTGGGTAGATCGTGGTGCCCTTGACAGAAATAGGGAAGTTTGAGGGAAAGATTAATGAGTTCAGTTTTGGACGTGTTGAGTTTGAGATGTCAACAGGACATCTTGTTCAAGATGTTGAGGAGGCAGTTGGAGATGCAAGATTGGAAGTCAGCAGAGAGGTTAGATCTGAGAATCATTAGCATAGAGACAATCATTGAATCTCATGGGAGCTGAGGAGATCACCAAGTGAAATAGTAGAGAGGAAGAAGAGGGCCCTGGACAGAGTTCTGTAAGGTGCCTATGAATGAAGACCCAGCAAAGGAGACAGAGTGGTCACACTATAGAAAGAAAATCAGGAGCGAATAGTGTCCCAAAAACCTAGAGAAGAGAGTATCAAGGAAAAGAGGGTGATCAACTGTGTCAGTGGCTGCAGGGAGGTAAAGAAAGTTGAAAATTGAGAAAAAACCATTGAAGTTGGCAATCAAGAGGTCAATGGTAACTTTGGAGAGAAATTTTGGTTGAATGATAAGGTCAGAAGCCAAATTATAGAGTTAAGAAGAATGAAAGGAGAGAAATGGAGGAATCTATTGAAAGTTATTTCAAGGAATTTTGCCACAAAAGGCAGGAGAGCTAGGGATTGATAAGCTAAACATCCCTAGATGATTTTTAGATGATTTTTACATGGTATAAACTTAAGGCCCTTTGCCAGCCTACTTGCCCTCCACTGGATGCTCTCAGGGTGATCAATGTCCTAGAATGTGGTGCCCAGAAATTAACACACTATTCTAACTGTAGTCTGATCAGAAGAATTATCACATCCCTTACTAG